ATTTCTAATCTAGGCTGAAGCTCTTGAGAGACTGGCAGGTAATAATGATGCCTTCATACCACTCATTCTCCAAAAATCAGATTGCCTGACATAGTGATTTCCCTTGAGTGCTCAGGTAGCATCAGTCCCATAATAACTTCCAGACAGTAATTCTGGTGGGCAGCAATTAGGAAAACAAAGGGCTTCTCTCCCTTTTCCCAAGATAGCTGGTCCCTCTAGAATCAAATAGTTGGGCCTTTAATGTAGAGCAGAATTTCTCAGCCTCAGCACTACTGACATTTTGGGCTGGAGAACTCTATGCTGTAAGGGCTATTCTGTGCATTGTAGGATATTTAGCAGCATCCCTGGCTTCTTCCCACTAGTTATGACTAGCACCACCCCTCGATATCAGAAATGTCTCCAGACCACACCAGATTCCTTCAGGGTGACAGTTTAGGGCCAGTTGAGGGCCATAGATGTCAAAGGCTTTCTTGGACAGATTGTGCCAACACCAGAAAGTGATACTGGTGGAAGATGACGTGGTAATTTTCTATCCTTGGCAAAAGCATAAGGGCAATTCTCATGGATGGATGAATGGATATTCAGGAGTTTCTCCCCAGTGAGAGCCAGTCACCAAGACAAAAATCTCAGTGTCCTCTTTAGCTTCCCCCTTTATCTCTCATCTCATCCCAATCCATCCCTCTGAATAACCATTCCAACTTGTAAATGCTTCCTCTGCCTTTTTGTACTGATGATGCTAAAATGCTAACTTAAGGTCCCAGAGTCTAAAATCAAGAAACCAACATTTTTTATGGATCTGCCATGTGTCAGCCACCCTGCTAACGTGTACATAATCTCACACAATACTCTCAGCCACCCTTAAAGAAGTTTTCTGTACCTGTCTCACCAGTGAGGAGTTGGGAACACAGATTTACACTGCCCAGCGGTAGAGTTTGGAAAATGGTAAGCAGGTCTTCCGATGTTGTTAAAAGAATATTTTTACCCCATTTTTCAAATATAACCAATATCTACTTAGAAAGTCATCACTACCTCTTTGAAAATTTAACCGGTATCTACTTGAAACTCTGGAGCTCCTGGCTTGTGAATAAGAATTGTGTTTGGAGAAACGTATATGCAAGGTCCCAGAGCCACAGGACAGTGGAGAAAATAGGACTCTTACACATCATTAGATAGTGACCACTTCGAGGTCATTCTGTTATTCAACAAATATGAGCTGAGGGCTTACTCCATGCCTGGACCTCTGTACACGAGTCAAGACAGACAGGGTCCCTGCCCTTATGGAACTTATATTCTAATAGGGGAGACATCCAGCATACAAGTAAACAAATGAATAAATAATTACAGTCTATGATACGTGCTGTGAAGGAAATGAGCAGTGAGAGGAGGAGATGGCGAGTAATTGGGTGAGGGGCAGCTTCTTTACATAGGGTGGTCAGGGAAGTTGTCTTTGACTTTGACATCTCCCACAGCATACTGTACTCCCTCAAAAGTGTTAGTGCTTCTTCTTGATCACCTGGCACAGTGCCTGGCCCAGTGTAGATGCTCCTAAGCCTTGATTGTATGAAAAGATTATGATGTTTTTCCTTTGTAGCCTCAGAGCCTAAAAACCTCTAGTAAGTGTATTAGTTACTTCTTGCTGCTGTAACAAATTACCACAAACTTAGTAACTTAAAAAAGCACAGATTTATTATCTCACAGTTCTGAAGGTCAGGCATCCTCAAGGTGTCAGCAAGACTGTGTTCCTTCTAGAGGCTCTAGGGGAGAATCTGCTTTCTTGCCTTTTCTGCCTTCTAGATTCCTTGACTTGTGACCTTGTCCTCTGTTTTCAAAGCCAGCAGCATAACATCTTCCAGTGTCTCTCTCTCTCTCTCTCATTCTGACCTTCCTGCCTCTCTTGTAATTACATTGGCCTACTCATATAATCCTGGATAATCTCCCCATTTTAAGATCCTTGACTTAATCAAATCTATGAAGCCCCTTTTCCCATATAAGGTAACACGTTCACACGTTCCAGGGATTAGGTCACCTTTGGGGTCCGGATTCAGCCTATCACAGTAAGCAATAAATGTTCATTTTATTCCCATGCCTGTCTTATTTTACAAATGAAAAACTTGCAGTTAAATGAATTGCCCAAAATCACACACTTGGATACAGCTTTAGATCCTGGTCACTCCATCTAAGTACATTATCATTATTCTCTCTATATCTATATTCTCTCTAGACTCTGTTCTTTATAGCACTCAGCACACTTCACATGTCTTTGATTATTTGCTTTGTTATTACCAGAAGGGCAGGAAGACACATCACTTTTTTTCACCAAGGTACAGTCACTGCACAGCTCGGTGCCTGACACATAGTGTGCACACCTCTAAAATTTTTTCAGATGAAAGAATGAATATTCTTTTGTATGCTTGGGTAAATAGAACTCAAACTCCTATAAATTATACTGGTCAGCAGCTTCTGATAGGTTAAAAATCCTTAGCTGTTTTTAAAGCATCAAAGAAAAAAGTGAACTTCAATGTTGGCGTATAAATTGAGTCAATAAAGAAGGGGCCCCAAAAGCAAAAATAAACAACTGGGACGTAATTTAACTTAAAAGCTTTTGCACAGCAAAGGAAACCATAAAAAAAACAAGAAGACAACCTATGGACTGAGAGAAAATATTTGCAAACAATGCGACTGACAAGGGCTTAATTTCCGAAATACACAAACAACTTATACAGCTCAGCATCAAAAAACAAAACCAAACCCAAACAACCCAATCAAAAAATGGGAAGAATACCTAAATAGACATTACTCCAAAGAAGACATACAGATGGCCAACAGGCACATGAAAAGATGTTCAACATCACTAATTATTAGAGAAATGCAAATCAAAGCTATAATGAGGTATCACCTCACACCAGTCAGAATGGCCATCATCAAAAAGTCTACAAATAGGGCTTCCCTGGTGGCGCAGTGGTTGAGAGTCCCCAGCAATTCCTAAGAATTTAAAAACAGAAGCCAATTTTACTAATTGCTTATTGTTTGTAAAAGTAATTATCTTAAGTGACTTAAGAACACAATTTTTTAAATATAAATCCATTTTTGGAATACATTCTGAAGACAAATAAATGTACAAAGAATCAAAAAAAAAGTCTACAGATAATAAATGCTGGAGAAGGTGTAGAGAAAAGGGAACCCTCCTACACTGTTGGTGGGAATGTAAATTGGTGCAGCCACTATGGAGAATAGAATGGAGTTTTCCTTAAAAAACTAAAAATGATTCTGCAGTGCCAATCCTGGGCATACATCCGGAGAAAACTCTAATTCAAAAACATACATGCCCCCCGGTGTTCACAGCAGCACTATTTACAATAGCCAAGACATGGAAGCAACCTAAATGTCTATTGACAGATGAATGGATAAAGAAGATGTGATACATATATACAATGGAATATTACTCAGCCATAAAAAAGAATGAAATGCCATTTGCAGCAACATGGATGGACCTAGAGATTATGATACTAAGTGAAGTCAGAGAGAGAAAGCCAAATATCATATTTAACTTATATGTGGAATCTAAAATATGATACAACTGAACATATTTACAAAACAGAAATAGACTCACAGACATAGAAAACAAACATACGGTCACCAAAGGTGAAATGGGGGAAGGATAAATTGTGAATTTGGGATTAACAGGTATACACTACTATATATAAAAATAGATAAACAGCAAGGACCTACTTACTGTATAACATAGGGAACTATATTCAGTATCTTGTAATAACCTATAATGGAAAAGAATCTGAAAAAGAATATATATATAAATGTACATTCTTCCTGTACACCTGAAACATTGTAAATCAACTGTACTTAAATAAAAAATAACGAAGGAAGCCATACCTGGCATTATATTGTCCCATCCGCTAGTGTTGAACTTTGATGTCTGGTATACTGCAACACTGTGTGCATTTGAGTGTGGTATTCTGTATTTACGACTCCATATGCAGTACTTTATCTGTTGACATATTAGCATCAAGAGTCTTTTGGGAGTGTTCCTGAGTAGCTCAATTCATAATTCCAATTCATGATTAGAGGAAGAAGGAAGGCAAAAAACCTAACTGCATGCTTTATCAGTGCATCAGCTTTTCTCTGTTAGGCCTTAAAGAAGTAACAAAGGAGAAATAAAATCACAGTTCTTACTGAACTATGCAAGTAGCACATTTATGGGTTCACTTAGCAAGTTGTATGGCATTTAAATAAAAACAAAAAATTTTAAAAATATAGGTCACCTCCAACACAAAATGAGTTCTTAGAAGTGTTAAAGAACCTTATGCTAAACAACTATATGAAGGAAAGCTAAACAAACACAACACCTCCTGTTATCATGGAAGGCAAGTTATATTTACACTATGAAGATACTTTGCTTCACGTTGTCCATCTTGCCTAATGAAGACACTGTTTGGTCAAACATGTTTTACATCTGACATCCGTTTCTCTTAGGAAATAATATACCTGTCATTCAAGGGGTTATTGAAACAAAAAATATGAAGCCAAAGGGAGATGTCTTTACTTTTTTTTTCAAGTGTCTTAATTTTTTTTAATTAATTTTTATTTTTGGCTGTGTTGGGTCTTCATTGCTGTGCACGGGCTTTCTCTAGTTGTGGCGAGCGGGGGCTACTCTTTGTTGCAGTGCACAGGCTTTTCATTATGGTGGCTTCTCTTATTGCAGAGCACGGGCTCTAGGCATGCGGGCTTCAGTAGTTGTGGCATGCAGCCTCAGTAGTCATGACGCGCGGGCTCTAGAGTGCAGGCTCTGTAGTTGTGGCACGTGGGCTTAGTTGCTCCGCGGCATATGGGATCTTCCCGGACCAGGGCTCAAACCCCTGTCCCTTGCATTGGCAGGTGGATTCTTAACCCCTGCACCACCAGCAAAGTCCAGAGATGTCTTTACTTTTAGTATTGCTTTTAAGATCCCAGATTCTTACCCCGACTTGTATTTACTTTGATTCTAGTGGCCAAGGATGTCAATATTCTTTTTGATGAATTGGAAGCTGTCAACAGTCCTTGCAAAGATGATGATTCTCTCCTTCACCCTGGAAACCTGACCAGTACTTCAGATGATGCTAGCAGATTGGAAGCAGGGGGAGAGGTAAGAGTGTGCGATTTCTTAAAAACACGATTCTTGATCCAGGCAGGAATCTGAGAAGCATAATGCAGTAGATTGTTTAAAGTCATCATCTCATTGAACTGTGGGTTCCTGAGGAAAAAAAGGACCAGGTCTTGTAATCCTGTGATGTCCTCTAGGAGTCTAGCACATTTCAGGGATCTGAAATCTACTTACTCTCAAAACAGATTTTCAGTGGGTCATGCACTTACCTTATACCTAAAGGCATTTTGTTTTTATAGAGAAGATTCTTAAAACCACCCATCATTTTAAAATGATCTACGTTCTGGGTGTCGCTAACTAGTAAAGAGTTAGCTTTACAAGGATGTTGAAATCTTGTAAAATTGAAATGAAATCAATTTCTGTTGAAATCTCCCAGCATGTAGAACAGTGAAACAGAGTGGACCAGACCTCAGTAGGTGTTGTGTTGTCTGAAGCCTCTCTGAGTTTCCATTTGCCTCTGTAATCTGGGAACTCATTGCAATTGTAAATAGACCCATCTGTTCTTGTGTCATTTTGGGGGAAAAAATAAGTATTTTGTTAAAGGCATTCACTGTTGCTCAGCTGTGTCTCAGTGGAGTTTAAGATCTCCTTTGTATATGCACTAGGTTTAGGTGATAGGAGCGCAGATCAGAGTCAACTAATTTATTGTGTATTCTTAACGTTTTTATTATTCCAGAGGCTGTTAACTAGTGAAAGGATAACACCTTTGACCAGGGAAAATTGTCTACTTCTACCAAGCTTCCCAGTCCTCTCTATAAATTCCATATGCTACTTATCTCTGTGTGGGGTTTTTTTTGTTTTTGTTTTTGTTTTTTTAAGAAAAAACTCATTCTATCATCATCTCTTCACACAGAAACTTTGGATGCCATAATGTGGCATAAAGGAAGGACTTTGAAAGGCACCTCAGAAAGCAGCTAGTGTAATCCCCTTAATTCATAGATGATGAAACAGTCTCAGGTAGGTTAGGGCTTTGCTAACCCTCCTCCTGAAGCCTTGGCTGGTTTTGCAGATAGATGCTAATGTGTTAAATCTACAGGATAGTTCCCTTCCCTGGCAGATGATTGTTAAGAAAGTGTTCATTTGGGTAGACTTCTGAGTAATTCTTAAGGCAGAAGCCAAAAATCGTCAGTGAGGATTGGTCATCAATTATAAATACCTACACCAGGTATGAGACATGTTATTTCCATCACTCCTGACTGAGATTTTCCTTTTGGATGAGGTTGCATGCCTGTCACTTGTGCATGAATATGGATTCTAGCAATGGCCTTGGGGGTCTGGCATGTGTTCCTTCTTCATACTACTATTTGGAAACTGATGTGTACTGTGTCCTCCAATTTATTGTGTGTTTATGCATACAGTTGACCCTTGAATGACGTAGGTTTGAACTGTGTGGGTCCACCTATACATGGATGTTTTTCAATAGTAGACACTGCATTACTACATGGTATGTGGTTGGTTGAATCTGTGATGCCGAGGAACTGTGGATATGGAGGCCCCACTATGACTATAAGTTACAAGTGGATTTAACCCCGTTGTTGTTCACAACTGTATACACAAATATCACAAGAAAAATATTTTTCTTATTGTGGGAAAAAAATTTGAGAAACCCTGAACTAAAGTATTACTGAAACCATCAAACCACTTGTGGTCCCATCCTTCTCTCCTCCCGGATGGACTGTCTTCCTGAATTTTTGTGTTTTTTATTCTCTTGCTCTAAAAATGGTTTTACCATGCATACGTAAGTAGCCTTAACAACTCATTTTACATTGATTTTATTTTGTGCTTTATAAAAAATGGTATCATGCAGTATAAAGTCTTTTGTGACTTGCTTTTTTCTGTCAATATTGTTCTTAAGATTTTTGCTTACTATTAGATGCATCAGTAGTTCATTTTCGCTGCTGTATAATATTCCACTGTATCACGGTTCTACAGTCTATTTATCTATTTGCCTCTTCATTGATTTGCACTGATTCCTATGTTTAAATATTTTTCTCTCATGAATAATGCTGCTGTGGACATTCATATACATGTTTCCTAGTTGCTTTACCAGGAATTTCTGTAGGGATATATGTTATGTAAATGTTCAACTTTACAAGATGATGCTAGTGTGTTTTCCAGAGTAACTATATCAATTTTCACTCTCACCTGTAGAATGTGAGAATTCTCAGTTGCTCCACATCCTTGCCAACATTTGGTATTGTTAGGTGACTTAAGTTTTGCCCATTTGACTGCTTTTTCCAATTTTTATTTTGTTTCCTCTTATTTACATTTTTCATTAATAAAAGTGTAATTTTGATAAAACACAAGGAAATGCATTTAGTTTTAATCGTTCTTTAATATTACTCACCCAAGGCTCAGTTTTGAGTGTCTTAAACTGGTCCCTTTCTCTTTGTGTGCAGACAATACCAGAAAAAAACAAATCAAATGGACTTTACTTCAGAGATGGAAAGTGTCGGATTGACTACATTCTTGTGTACAGAAAATCCAACCCCCATATGGAAAAGAGAGAAATATTTGAAAGAAATATTAGAGCAGAAGGATTACAAATGGAGAAAGAGGTAAATAGTTTGCTTGGATGAGAAAAAATATAAATATACATCTATTCATATTGGGAGACAATTAAAAAATAATCAGTTAGTCATTATGTTAACTGAATGTTTCATTCGCTGAGGGTTTGCCGATCTGCAGTGTGTGGAGAATGTTCTAGCAATTAGATTTTCACAGCACAGTTTGCCTTTGAGAGCATTTTAATGCCAAAAGATTCCGTAAAAATCAAAATATTCAAATTAAATGGATTGTTTCAAAGTGTTATAATTTAGCTGATTTCCTACATCTACTGCTTCTCGATGTTAATGGCGGGTTCTATTTGCATGGATTAAAGAAAACTTCGGATAAAATGCAATCACCCCACCATAGAGGCTCTTTTTACATTTCAGGAAACATAATGGGTTTGGGTATCCTCACACACAGCAGAAGAGACTGGCTGATTTGGCCAAAAACAGCTGGGACTTACAGAGTGATTCTGTTTTTAAAAGACATTCAGGTTGTTTTTATCAAGTTCCCAAACTCAAGGATTACCTTATCAGTGTTTACTCTTCCCCTTCTCTCCTCTGCAGGGGAAGTTTGAGGATGGTACAAGAGGCCCAGCCAAGCCTCTGATAATAATCCACAATGGGATTATTGTGTACCCAGAAACGCTGTGCACACTTCTAGAACTTGGCCCTGTTAGCTGGATTATGTAACTCTTCTCAGATTTTCCCTAAACACTGTGCACGGCTTCTGGAGCTTTTCATAGTCCAGAAGAACATGTTGCCAATTAAAAAGTGTTTGCTTCTGATTCTTCTTTTCAAGGCTAAAGGATAGATCTTTGAAGTCAGACATCCATGTTTTTCTTTATACGGTGAAGGTTGCATGCTAATCTTGGTACACTTTAGATAAAGAGGATGTTTCCAGGTCTGTTAGACTAGCCTCAACTCTGGAGCATTTATAAAACAGAAATAGTATTTTTCTGGAAGTCTCCAAAAAGAGAATTAGAAAAACAGTGAGATGAGTATAGCCTTAAGGGAACAGGTTCTCATTCTCAGGAAAGCGGAAGCAGATAGCTCAAAAGACTGCATCAGCTGGAGTTTCCCCCAGAGCAACCAAGCAACCAACGGAGTGAAATACGTTGTTTTTTCCACTTTCGTGGGGTTCCAGAAAATCTTTCCTGTACCCGCTGAACATACCTTCGATAAATCTTGTTCTCTAAGTTTCTATTGAGACAGTTGTGTATTCTTTTCCTAACATTGATAGTGCATTAATATTTTATCCCTAAAAATCTTTTCTTCATCTTTTATTCTAAGTTTCAGAATTTTTATGTAAAGAAATAAAAGATCTGTATTGCGACATGATCTGAAATAACGAAAGTCCTTCGTTGTGATCCATTCTGACGCTGTCCAAGTTTTGATTCCCATCAAAACTAGGTAGCTTTCTTCAGTTAATGAAAAATTTATATTTTGAGCTTCATAACTATTCTCTCCACTCCTGGGGCTTCTTTTGTGTAGGTCTTTTCAATGTCATTTTGTGGCTTACAAGTTAAAACTCAAAAAGCCTAATACTTTTCCAAATAAAATACATTACTAAAGAAATGACAAGTCTCCTGTATGTCTCCTAAAAATCATCTGTACTACAGTATTCAGCTGCCAGAATTAGAGCAGGTAGCTGAGGACGGTTATTCTGTCTTTTAGTGTGCAGTTGGTTCTGTGTAGTCCAGAGTTGACCGTAGTGTGTTAGATGTTCAGCTCATATGATTTTAGTGGTATACAAGATAATTTTGTTTGGTTCTAATTTAAAACAAATTTTAATGCCTAGGTATTTATTTTAATTTTTACTGGAAAAAATAGCAGCTGGGAAAAGGGCAATATCACCATTTGGCAAAACTTGATAAAAACTTACCTAAGCATCTCTCTCTCTCCCTTCCCCCCAAAAGTTCTTCTCTTGGTGGCAGCTTCCCTACAGTCCTCTATCCACTACCAACAGCTTGGTTTTCTGGAAACTTCTTCCTAAGCAGCTTTTCCCTGTGGCCCAACTTCTGCATAAGCAGCACAGTTTGACTCTAACTCTGTCTCTGAGCTCTGCTTTGCGTCCTCACAGCCACAGCCAGTTCAGCAAGAAGCGGGGGACCTCTGCACATCTTTCCTTGCTTAGAGGCAGCAGGAAATTATAGCTAAGTTAATTTTCCCTGTCACAACTAATTAAAATAAAATGTCCCTTGTATGAACAGTAAATCTGTATCTCCATTGTATTATTAGATTTAAAACCCATCAGAAGCACTTTTATTTAAATCTAGTGTTTTCATAAACAGTTTCAGTAGAAAGACAGCAATTTTAATAGCTATTTCAGCTTCCAGAAGTTACTTCCACCTTTTGTACAAAAAACAAAGAACATAGTTCAAGGTGGAAAAGAAAAAAGAAAACCCAGGGGGCTTCCTGTGAATACACATATACCTGATGTATAATCAGTGATGAACACTAAGTACGTTGTATGAATTATTAGTATCGTCTTCATTAGCTGTGTGTCATGATGTCCAACAGTTACGGAAAATGTTTCACAGACTTAGAAGCTTTTGTTTCCAAATCGGTAAAGACAGGCTCTGTAGTTGAACAGTTTAATAGAAAGAGAATCTTTATCTCTTTTAACATTGAAAGTCAAGAAACACAGCCAGGAAAATCTTTAATTCATGATAAAAGTGAGGATGTAGTCAAATTTCATCTTTCGTGGAAACTATGCCCCCCACCTGATTAGTCAGCAGGTAAGTGCTTGTTTTGGCACCCTGGGTCTTTAATATTCTGTAACTCATCTTTCATATAAGCCCAGAGAAAGCAATTCACAGCAGAGTTCCCAAATAAAGTATCAAATCCAAGTGATTTTCTTCTTAAGTGTCTGTTTAAAGAGATTCCCTTCTTTAAAGGTAAACTCATATTTATAAATTCACATTTTGATGAATTTATAAATAAAAAATATTTTTTTTCATTTTTAATTTTATGTCCATCATTGACTCTTTGGTACCTATTTTTAAATCATTATCAGTAAGAGGTTTATATCTTCCTTCATATAAAGGGTCAGGTCGTGGATGACTTTGGAATTATTTGGGATGTATGGGTACCAGTTAGATTAATGGAGCACCCTTCCTCTTTAGAATCACACAGAACATGGGGAAAAACTCATATCATCAGTTGTTTACCAAATAACTGTATTTATATAAATCATACCATCTTGATGATAGTTAACTTCATTCAACACATATTTATTATACACTTACTCTCTGCCAGGCACTGCCTTAAGCACTAAGAACTCAGCAGTGAATAAAACAGACAAAAAATTCCTGCCGGGCTTCCCTGGTGGTGCAGTGGTTGAGAGTCCGCCTGCCGATGCAGGGGACACGGGTTCGTGCCCCAGTCCGGGAGGATCCCACATGCTGCGGAGCGGCTGGGCCCGTGAGCCATGGCCGCTGAGCCTGCGCGTCTGGAGCCTGTGCTCCGCGACGGGAGAGGCCACAACAGTGAGAGGCCTGCGTACCGCAAAAAAAAAAAAAAAAAAAAAAATCCTGCCCTGTTGGAACTTAAGAACAAAGTAAATGAGGAAATCTGTGTTGAAGAACAATAAATGCTAAGGAGAAAAAAGTAAAGCAGGAAGTGTCGAGAGGGGCTTGCAATTTTATGAAAGTTGGTAAAGGTGGGCCTCTTTCCTAGGCAACAAGAACAGCATGTGCAAAGGCCCTGAATCAGGAGCATGCCTGGTGTGTTTATGGAACAGTAAAGAGGCCAGTGTGACAGGAGTTGACTGAGCAGAGTAGAGAATAGTGAGAAATTATATCAGAGAGGCAACGGAAGTCAGATGACATCAGGTCTTAGTGGTCACTGGGCAACTTTAGTTTTTCTCTGCATGACATGGGAAATCACTGGACAGTTCTGAGCCAAGGCATGATGAGATCTGGTTTCTGTTTTATTAGGGTCATTGGGGTTTCCTGGTGATAGTAGACGGTGGGAAGTGGGGAGGTGGGGAGGGCAGAAGCAGAGAGGTCAGTTAGGAGATTTGTCACAAGAATCCAAGAGAGAGGTGATGGTGGCTTGGCCAAGTGCACAGCAGAGGAGATGCTGAGAAGAGTAGGAAGTAGAGCCGATGGGAACTGAAGACAGATTGAATGGGTGATGTGAAGGAGTCACAGGCCATTCATCTGTCATACACTGTTCATTTAAAGAGTTGGAAGAGGGACTTCCCTGGTGGTCCAGTGGTTACAAACCCGCCCTTCCAGTGCAGGGGGCGTGACTTGGGTCCCTGATCGGGGAACTAAGATCCCACATGCTGCATGACACGGCCAAAAACAGAAAAATAAAGAGTTGGAAGAACTGCCATTTACAGGGCAGCAGAGGGAAGTGGGTTCCCTTGTAGACATGTTAAGTTTGAGGTGTACCGGTGGTGGGGATGTTGAGTAGGAGGGAAGAGTCTGGAAGACAGGCAGAGATCTGGGCTGGAAAACCTAGAGGGTGTGGTGCCTGGAGGGAAGTGTTTCAGGAGGGAAGGAGCAGTTGTGTCAGATGCTGCTGCTGGACGGGGTAAGATGAAGACTGAAAGTTAGTCACTGAATTTAGCAAGGTGGAGGGTTCTGGGGAGCTGGGCAAGAGAAGTTTCCACGGAGAGGTGGAAGTGAAATCATGACTAAATGTGTTCAAGAATGGGAGGAGAAAATGTGGAGACAGCAGATAGAAATAGCTCTTTGACGGAGTTTCACTTTAAAGGAAAAGAGAGAAATGGAGTGATAAGTGGTGTAAGACTTTGGGTCAAGAAAGCGTTCTTTTTATTTAAGATGGGAGAAATAACTGCATGATTTCATGCTAACAGAAATAATTTGAGAGGCAAACTTGATGTTGGGGAAAAGTGAGGGAAGAATTTTTGGAGCAGCGTCCTCAAAGCAGTAAAAAAAGAACGGCCACGAGTTCCTCCCATGCAGGGTCCCACCTGCCTGCATCTATGTCCACAAATGCAGCCGTGGCCTTGCTGCTGAGGGTGTTCTGACTGT